TATATATATAATAATTTAAATTTTTATTTATTTTTTAAAGTATAAAAATAAAATAAAATAAGCAAAATTAAATAAAAATTTTTGAAAAAGAAGTTGATTATCTATACGTTTGTTTAACCAAAAAGTATCCAATTTTTTTAATTGTTAAGTTCAAAACCAATCATTTCTACATTTTATTTAAAAAAAATTGTTTCAATTCCCTCTAAATATGCATTATTTGTAAAATTGAAACGATTTGGCTTCAATTTGGCAAAATTTGCACCAACTTTCCTGGTTGGTGGGGATTTACATTTGCACCGGAAAATAATATGTAGAAACCAATTTTTGGGAAATAATTTTCTTTTCGTTTCATTTTTTTTCAGCACGGTGCATGAATATAGTAGCTGCATGAGAAACGTTGTCGAAAATCGCTGCGATGTTGATGCTCAAAAACTCGTCGAGGAAACAATAGTAACAGCTCTCAAGCAATCTTTTGGATACTGCAAACAGCTGGAAAGCAATCCGACCAGAAACTGCTTACGTGAATTTTCTGCCAGCCAAGGACACGCCACTGGAACACTGGAAGATACCGAAAACGGCAGCAGCATTCTTCAGACGCCACTGATTCTTCTTTTACTATTAATTTTGTTTTCAACATTCGTTGGTTCCTGACTTTGTCAAGATTCGTTAACCTGGAAGAAAAATATTTCGAAATTGATCTAGAGGTTTAATAAATGTTCACTGCTCTTAGGTTGGCGATATTGTGATGGCAATTCAGATACTTTGGCGTGATTGACAATGGATATTTTCGAAGCGTGTTGAGAAGCTACATTCCAAACAATGGAGAAAGGGCTTTCTTTAATGTGAAATAATGAATTAAGATAGATATTTTTGTGGTATTTTGGAGCTAAAAAATAGATTTGCTAAATCTGTATAAAAAAAAATCTTTTATTGAAATCAGCGTTTTACTTATTGATTAAATCAGAAAAAGGTATAGCCATGTTATCAACAGGTGCTTGGTTTTTACAATATGGATTTATGATATAAATTATTTAAGATATTAGATGAATATTGTTTCCTTACTATGTATGATAATTGCAGGCGTGTATTATATTGTAAATTGGTTGTATTGAATTTAAAATCATCATTTGAATATAAACTTTTGAATGTTCTTAAATGGATATGAAATATTTATTCATTTTTTATTGATACTGAATTTTTTTAAAATTTTCCTGGAAATACTTGCATTAAACTACATATTGACATGCTGCTGTTGAATTTTGCAATCGAATAATACTTGTTATACACATGCTCTGGAATGTTTTATTGTCCTTAACTATACCCTTGCTTTCCTCTGAATTTTAAAAATGTCCAAAAAATGTAAAACTTGTGTTAAACAAAATAAAAACTGATTTATCACTAATTATTCATAAAATGTATAACCGTTTTTTACACACAATCTTAAAAAGTGAAGAAAACAAAGGTATATCAAATAAAATTCTTTGTCCTGCTATTAATGGCAAAAGAAAATTAAATAACAAAAAACAACTTTTTTAAGATAATTAAACTATTAATAAACTCATCAATGAACATAATTCAATAACAAATCAATCATTGAAGAATACTACCTCGCGAATATAAATTTTTATTATTTTTTTATTCATTAAGTAGACTACTAAAATCTAAAGAGAGTTGCAACAAGTAGGTTTATAACTGTCCATTAGGGTTGCAAAAAAGAATGGTACGGGAATCACTTTCCATACTTGGTGAAATTTCCTTCGAATTTGGCTTTCAAAAAGCGTCAAAATTAGAGAGACGTTAAACTACATCAAAGTCGCGAAAATTATTGATTTATCTATTTAAACTGCGTGTGATATAGCGCACTGCTATAGACGTGCTATATAGAAAACTGATGTTGAAATCCTACTCTGACATATTTCTTATAAAATTGATGTACATTTTTCCCGTTTATAATTCAGGATGGTCACGGGAATATTTATTGTTAATGTTTCCTGCACTAAAAACATCAATTTTTTTTAACTATGTGCTTTTCATTTCAATTGATTTCAGTTAAATAGCACTTGGAATACCTTTTTCTGTAACTTTAATTTGTTTTTTTTATAATAATTCTTATAATAATAATTTTAAAATACATCTATAAATACAGTTAAAATCCATTTTCACCTCTAAGTTTAAAAAGAATCAGGTCTAAAACTTTTTTAATATTTTTGAAGTTAAATATATTCACTTTAAATAAATTCCCTATTTTTCCCGAAAATATTCTAAAACAAATACTCTTTTTTTGCATCCCCACGTCAATACATTTTCATGACAGCTTGCTTTTTTTTTCCTCTTCAATCCAGTTTTATTCCGTAAATCCATTTATACGCCTCAGATTTTCGGATAAGTCTATTCTTCTCTGTGAGAGAAAAACGAAAAGAAAAGAAAACTACATTAGGATATTCGCGAAAATCAAACTGCTTGGACTAGTTACGCACAAAAAGTTTTTGATTTTCTTTTATATATCTGAGAAAATAAGTGTATTATAGAAAAAATATTTTATTCAATTAGTAATTCACCTTTTTTAAAAAAAATATGTCTTTTTATATTAAATGAATAATCCCAAGAAACTTAAGCCAAACGATGTATTTGATGATTTAAATAAAGATAGTAATAAAAGTCGACATGTTTCGAGAGCTTGAAAATAGGTGCCCATTCTCACGTCTCGCCATACGTGAATGAGGAAGCAAAGGTCAATTGATGCAGAAAATTTAACGTTTCAACAAAAAAAGCAAATTAAAGGTGAGAAACAAAATTAGAAAAACTGCAGTAAACGAGGGCAAGATGTATTTTCCCGTGTTTTATTGATTTGGTATAGAAGTCATTTTTTTTAAAAGGGAATTGGTATTTGAATAAATCGCCATTCAGAGACAACAAGATAAGTTGATGAGACAAAGATTTTTCTCCTTTATTTTCTGTTTTTCGTCATTAACGTAACGTTTTCTGTTTCAAACTACTCTTGCTTTTTCATTCACATCTAGTGAATTTTGAGAATGGATGCCTATATTTTAGCGCTTGAAAATTGTCGACTTTTATTACCATAATCATAGCTTTGAAGTAAATGAAGTTTTTAAATCTTCAAGTAGGACTTTTTATAGTTACTTTTGTTTCAAAGATCGTCCTTGATTTTTTGAGGATTTCAGAAATTTATTAAACATTTAATCACTTTCCTTTGATTATCATCAGTAAAAAACTTAAAAAATGTTCTTCCAAATCAAGAATAAGATCCAAAATTTTTATTTATTTTTTTAACTGTCGGCAGTTTTCTGCAAATACTATTAGAACCTTATCTTTAAAATTCCAAAACGTCTTACACAAATCCCCCAAACTTAGTATATATACTTCTAATATTTATAATGCAAAATTGTAATATATACTACGATCTGTGAGTAAATTATTGCAATGCAAAATTTTTGTTTCATTTTTAAAATACTTCATGATCTAGAACAGATTCTAATAATGTTTTTGTCATTTCCTAAAATGTCGAAATCTTCAGTTTTCAGTAAACATTATTAGAATCTATCTTTTCGATTTCTGAAACTTCTTACATAAATCACTCAATAGCAGAAAAATTTCTAATATTCATGATGCAAAATTGTAATATATACTACAATCTGTGAGTAAATTATCGTAATGCAAAATTCTTGCTTTATTTTAAAAATACTTCATAATTTAGAACGGATTCTAATAATGTTTTTATTGTTTCCTAAAATATCGAAATCTTCAGTTTTCTGTAAACATTATTAGAATAATCTTTTCCATTTCGGAAACTTCTTACATAAATCATTCAAATTTTGCAAAAAAATCTCTTGACTTAAGATGCATAGTTGTAAAGTATTATGATATTATCTGAGAATAAGTTATAGTAAAAAATGAAGCAAAATGACATTAAAAAAGCTAATGATTTGCTTTACAATTTTTTCTTTTATGCTTCTCAATTATGTTTGTAAATCATTAAGTAGGATTTTTTGTATTTACTTTTATTTCAAAGACCATTCTTGATTTTTTGAGGATTCCAGAAATTTATTAAACACTTACTCACTTTCCTAACGTCTTTTTCTAAACGTCTTACATGTATCACTCAAACTTAACAGAAAAATTCCTAATATTTGTGATGCAAAATTGTAATATATACTACGATCTGAAAGTAATTTGTTGTAAAGCAAAATTCATGTTTTAATAAAAAAAAATTCATCAAAATCTGGAACAGATTCAGATGATGTATTTATTTCCTGAAATGTCGAAAGCTTCAGTTTTCTGTAAACATTATTAGAATCTATCTTTTCAATTTCTGAAACTTGTTACATAAATCCCTTAATCTTTACGAAAAAAAATTATACTTATGAGACAAAGTTGTAAAGTATTATGCTATGATCTGAGAATAAGTTATAGTAAAAAATAAAGCAAAATGACATTAAAAAAGCGAATGATTCACTTTACAAATTTTCCTTTATGCTTCTCAATTAAGTGAATATTTCCTGTTACACTTTTTACGCCTTTTCTCTGAAATCAATTATTGTCTGACCTCTTAAATGTAAGTTGTACTAGCTTACGTTTAGACAAATATCACAAAAATATGTGTCAAGAGATGGCATTAGAGAACACCTAACAATTTCTGTTATTCAGTTTATGAAGTTGTTTCTTCATAATAGAAGTTATGTAATACGTGTTTTACTACCGGCACAAACTTTACTACCACATTTTCCCCCCTTCCCCAAACAATCACTTTAAATATCGTATATAAACACAATCTTGTTCAGAGATTTTTATGATAACACGTGAAATAATACGTGAAAGATACTTTATAACTTTTTTTATTGAATTCTTATTATGAAAGAAAAATAAATACCGTAAAGTGAGGTTACTTTAAGAGACTTTTTGAGGTTTATTTTGGATATCTCATTAAAATTGCACAATATAGCTATGAATGTTTTGCAATATATGTTTGAACTCCTTCTTAATGTGGTAAGTAAAGTTGGATTCTAAATGGCTAGGAAAATTCAAAAACGAAATTGCTCCTGTAACCCAAAGAAGTGACTTTGGGTGGGGTAACTTAATTTATCTATTAATAATCGACTAAAACACTATTCTAGCACACAGTAAAATTTTTTGAAATCGAAACAAAATTTAAAAAATATTTATAAAAATTTTCAATGAGTACTTTATTTTTAAAATTATTTCAGGTAAAAACAAAATTATTCAAAGCAAAAGTATTTAATTTTTTTATAATTAAAAATAATTTTATTATTATTATTATTAACTCGAATATTGCTATTATTCTATTACCATTATGAATCCACATATTAATCTTATTAATTAAAACTTTATTATTTAAAATTAAACTTTGAAATCAGCAACAAACGATTTTTGTTTTTTCTTATTCCCTTTGTTTTTTTTTTGACAATGTTCAATTTATTATACTTTCTTGGCCTTAACAAAAACTGGTGCTTTATCTGTTTTTCTTCGATTATTTTCATTTCAATTAACTTAGCCTCTTACACTGGTATTGTTACATCAAAACAAACATCGTCCACATCAGTTGGTAATTACATTATTATAGCCTTCATTATTGACTAACACCTAATCAAAAATTGGTACAAAATCATCATCAAAAGTGCAATATTTTTGGTTTTTATAACATAAAATAAACTATAAGACATTAAGGTTTTTAATTATTAATAAATACGTTCATTATACTGGGAGTCTGAATGTTGGCTTATAGATAATAATACCTAAAATATATACATCAGATTAGATTTGAGGAATTTCATCACAGACAATAAAAAAAACGCAATCAAATTACAATTTTTGTAGATCAACATGCATAAGTTATCAGATAAATGATATTTGTTTCGCGATCTAATACTGCCCTTGATACTCAAAAAAATTCTGAAAAAATTCTATTTACTTTTGCTATTGATGAAGGCCATTTAACTCCAAAAACCACGAGTGCCCCAAAGTAGCCTCATTTGTCTCAAAATAACCCATCTTACGGCAAGTAATATTATCTGGTTAAAGACAAAACAAATGGTTTTTTTCCCCTCATATTAATAAAAAATAAATCTAATCATACTTTTGACAACTGTTTGTTTTAATGCAAAATGTGTATTTTGATGTGTAATAAAATGTTACATTTTAATAAATTTTGATTCGTGATTTTCTTTTTCCCAACAATCAAAGCAAAACATTCTCCTTCTTCAAATGCACTACATCCTATTAGAAGCCAAGACCTCCTCAATAAGCTTCCTCCAATGGATCTAATCGAAGCAAAACCAGTGACATAATTTCTTCTCGAAAACTGCGTTACGTAGTTGTTCCTCTTCTTCTAATTTCGTACAAGATTATTCAAATAAGCTTAACATTTCATTATAAAAACTACATTGAGAAAACATAATGTACCACAAGTTATTATTTACAAAGAAAATTTTAAATGAATACCTAATTGTAAATAAACACCTCAATCTTAATGAAATTTGTTTCTGAAATAAACTTGCAGTGAATGTTTATAAAGTTTTTTTTATATATTTTATTATTTATAATTTTTATTTTTACTCAATATTCATTATTCATTTTGAGACTCAAAGGAATATTAAATAATATTCACTATCAAAACAAATTATAGAATCACAAAAGCGTCTTCCTTTTCGTTAACGAAAAACAATCAACAATTTTTACATAACATAATTTTTAGAAAAATTCCTTAGGCACCATAATCAATTTTACTTTTTTAATTAATTAAATACAAAATTGCAAATTTTCAACATCAAAAAATTACTTTCAACTGATAAGGACGAAGTAATTTTTGATTAACAAAACATTTGCATTTAAAAATCATTTGTGGTTAAAAATTCATATGTAGTTAAAAATCATTTGTGGTAAAAAAATCAGTTGTAGTTAAAAATTGAATTTAAAAAAAATTTCAATGTAAAAATTTCAACCATTGGGCAAATTATACTTTAAATTGCTACACAGTTAAAAATACTACTAATTATTTCCATTATATGTAATAATTATTTCTAATAAATAATGAATATTTGCTATTTATCTCTTTGACGCAGATGGAACACACATGTCCCTTTTATATATATTTTAGTCTGACACTCTTATTACAAGCAAAAATATATTTTTATATTTTTTAATAATAAAAGACAGTCTAAAAGTTCCTAAAAAAATTGTTAGATTATCGGAATTATATTTGTTCTAAAATAGAAAATCCAAAGAAAGTAGTTTGAAAGGGAATGTCATTCATATTCACAAATTCATCGATAATTTATAGTATAAACTGAAGAAATTTCGATGCTGAATAATTGTTTCTCTTAAATGTAAATAAGTGCAAATTTGAAAAATTATTGTTTGGAAGTGAGCCGTGTTCGGAAGCTTTCACCTTTAACGCAGAAAAAAAAAACGGTGTTTCAAGCTGTATTTCATAATCATAAATTATTAAAAAGTTAAATATAATATTTTAAACTTAGATTGATATAAACTAAAATAAAATAATGAAAAAAAGTATGAAAAATAATGTTTAATCAAAAATCTGTGTTAAAGAGTTAAAAACTGATTTTGAGAATTAAAAAGCATGTAATTATATTTGAAGAGCAAAAATGAAAACAATTAAAAATCAAGTTATACAGTCGGATCTCTATTTAACAAAATTGCTAAATTTAAATAGTAAGCTCGTTATATGGAAAATTCGTTTAATAGAAAATCACCTTTTGAAATACTTAAAACAACACAAAACAGGCTTAAAATTCATAAACACTAGGCATAAGAAAATAAAAATGGATGCACCTTTATCTTGTAAACTAGTATCTACTATTTTATAAATATTAACCATAAAAGAAATCTGCACGGAAAGCAAGAATAGAGCAAAAACATTATCCAGTGCTATACGCTACATACATTTTCATGCTACATACATGTTCAACTAAAAAAAAGGTAGATTTATGTATAAAATTATAGCTGCATTTATTTTAAAAGTAATTTTAAACATACATCACCACATGTGTTATTAAGTTTAATTGAAAGTGATAAAATCCGTTCATTTTGTCAGAGTTTTTCGTGTGAAAGGGAAACGAAAGGGGAAAGGGATCTTACTGCTTTCTCTAAAAGTTAAGTGGCTTCGAAAATCAATTCAAGGTCATTTCCCCCATAAAATGCGTTAATGAGTTTGAAATATTCTGAAATATTTTGGGAAATAGGGAAAGTGGATCTCAAAGAAAAGTTCGTTAAATAGAAAATTCACTTCCCTATTTGGAAGTTATTTTACGAAGAAATTTCCAAAATGTTCTGGGTATCTCAAAAAAATTTACAAAATATAGAAATTCGCAAAATGGAAGTTCGTTAAATAAAAGTCCGACTGTATTTTAAATGGCAACATGTCTTTATTATATCTGTAAAATATTGTCTATTCATAAAGTAATAATAACCAGCATAACATAATGCAAATTAATAACCAGCACTTTCTATCACATTTCACCAAAAGGAACCATAAAAGTTTTAAAAAAAAAATTTATATTTTTCACGATTCTAAAAAATGAGAGCTAATAAAATTTCAAAGTAATCAGTTGGAAAAAAATTTCGCATTTCTAAGAAATTCTAACACTGAAAAATAATAAATTTTACATCTAACAAAATCTAAAAAGTAGTTATAAACGAATTTAATAAAAAAGCCGTTACAATAAAATGACAGGTATTACTTATAGGGGTAGGAAGCAGTTCTATACTAACTATATGTAAACAATCTTTCAACAGAAATCAGTATTTAAAATTTTTCATGGCGAAACTGCTGGCACAGTCTGAAAGATGCTCGAGGCTTTCAGAAATGATGTGATTTTCATGAAAGATCCGGATCGAGCAAAATAAGGAGAGCAAACTAATAACTTCTCTCTAGTTTTAATACCAAGAATTTTGAAATCATTCTATAGGAGTCTGATATTTATATAAGAATGCTTTTAAAATTATAGTGGTATTAGAAAACAAATGAACAGCCGCTAACTTCCCACTCTCATTTCGGTCGATGTAAATTTTTTATGGATTAAAAAGACACAGGAATAAAAGCCTCAGGAATGATCTTTCAAATTGTGCCAACAATTTTTCTAAGTTAAACCAACCATGCCAAACATTTCTGCTAAATAAAGATTGCTTACATAGAGTTGGTATGCAAGGGATTCCATACTTTTGAAAATTCCTTGTATGTTAAAAAAAGATATCAATATTAATATTTTTGTTTAAAATTGAAACTTTATAAACTAGTTTTAGTAGTTAGAAAAAGTAGTATCTGTCTAGAGGGTAAAAAAGATAAAAAAGAAATTAATATTTTGATAGATTAAAATCCACCGATGTTTATTTTTCCTTATAAAATGATTTTCTAAGATACTAAATAGCTATTTCTAAAACGAATTATAAAATTTCGAAAACAAACAAATCGTCTGAAAATTTCATAAAAGTATTTTAAAATATTCAAATGATCATAATAAACTTTACGTTCTTAAATAATCTGAAAGCTAAGAAAACAATAAACACTATATTGTACGAAGTGTAACTTACAACGTGTTAATTTAAACGAATAAAATTAAACAAAAATTTTTTTGAAATTTTAACTAATAAAAAAAAAAAAAATTCCACTCTCAAAAAATAAATTCCATTTAAAAATTAAAATCCAAAATCTTAAAAAATATATTTTTTGAACAAATGTATAAAAAACCTTCAATATTAATTAATATATAATTCCATATAATATATCTATCAATATATAATTCCATATCTATTAATATTTAATATTAATTCCATATTCATATTATAATAACTTAAAATTTATTTTTAAAATTCTTGCCAAACAATTACGTAAAAGCTCAATGCAAATCAATATTTTTGCAAAAAAGAAGCAAACGTGCTGTCGGAACCTACCGAATCACTACTGAGATCGGCGGAACTAAAAACAACAAAATGAAACTTGGAGGTTTTCTGTTTATTTTGATTATCAAATTGGTTTTGATATTTTCAGTTCTACCCTCCTCAGTGGTCATTGGTTAGATTTCGATAAAATTTTAATTTCTTCTTTACTCACGCTTTAATTTGTGTCCCCTACTACGAAAACTTTTCAACTTCATTCAGGGCAAATATTCCAAAATTAATTATAATTACTTACTAAATAGTTTAATGCATATTATTCAATAAAATATTGAACAACATATCGCATATATTCATTTAATAATCCATAGAAATTATTTGCTTTAAAAATGACCTAGAACGCTTGAAAAATCTTTTTATTTTTGAATAATTAACTACAAAAATTTAACATATCACACATTTTTACAATTGATTTTCATGCAGACATATTTAAATAATAGAGGTGAAATGTAAGTAGAGCGCACTTTACGATAATTTTTGTCCTCATAATAAAGACATGTGACTAACAAATCAAGAGACAGATTTTTTACTTTCCGTTTCTTCTTGTTATTTGAATCGGACAAAATCGATGCTAGAATTTTTAAATCAAAAATCTTAAAATATGGTGGTTTGTTGTGTTACAGTGTTAATATTATTTGGTTGTGCAAAACAAATTGCTAAAGAAGGAACTTATACACTTCAAAAGTAAGTTAAATTATACCTTTTTGGAATTACAGCTGCTTTATTTACTTTGTAGGTGAACTTTTAACTTGTTTTTCTTTTCCTTAAAAAATCGTAGGAATACCAATTATTCCATTTTATTCATTCTAAAATCCAAAATTGTGCTTTTATAACTTTTTGCGAATAAATATAAACAAATAAGAACACAACTTCATAAAGAAATGATCACAAAAAATTATATATTTTTCTTTTTATTTTAGTACTATATTTTTATTTAGTAACAGGAGAAGTTTTGACGATTTTGTTGTTTTATTTCTATTATGTTTATTTACTTCGTAATATTTTACTCTTTATAGTGCTGAAAGAATAAATTCTTCAATATATATTTTTTCTTCAATTTCAGTTGCTTGTATTGAATTAATTTTGTTCAAAAAATACATTAAGTCAGAGAGAAGATTGGAGCAAAACTATTCGATAAATAGAGGAAACTTTTTTTACCACTTAACTAATGAAATCGTCAGTTCTTTTTAATTTGAAATTTTCTGCTCTTTTTAAATTGCTATAACGCATGAAAAAAATTATTAAAGCTGGTTAACCTTATCAACCCAGTTGTAACGTTTAAATAACAAAGGAAAGTTCAAAAAAGAGAAGCGGATTTTTGCTTTGATTTTTTTTAAGGTGATTCAGTTCTTTTTTATTCCCAATTTTTATTTTATATTTCTATTCCTTTGACGTGTCTAAAATCATTTCTTGTAAATGTTTTTAAAAATATCCAAAGGCCTGAAAATATATCCATGACTTTACAAGATGCAGTATCATTGTAAAATCTATGGTATATTAAAATTTAAACGTGTTTTTTAATGTACTTCGATAATTCAATAAAAAATATTATTATGCAGGACAGTTACAAAATAACTTCAGGTGTTTCTGAAAACTACAGAAAAAAATTGTAATAAATCTTATTAAAATATTTATTTTTACCCTCTTTAAAACCATTAAAAAATTGAAATTATCTTTATTTTATAAACATGTAAACAATTTTGCTCAGTTTATATGTTTCAAAAAATGGGAATTCTTAAACAAATTTTAATCTAGTAAATTCTTCTCGAAAAATATCCAGTATTTAACTGCTAATCTTAATGCTTTTGAAGCTTTTTATTTTCTAAGTCACTAATCAATGTTTAATATTCTTAATTAGTAGTATATTAAACTGTAAAAAATATTATTCGATTTTTTTTTTTGTTAGGACTTAATCCTCTATGAAATTGCTGAGTCTGGGATAAAGAAAAATATAAAAAGAAATATGTACATATTTACAAAATCACTATATATTTATGTCAGTAGATTGTATATGTTTGCAACAATTCTCGTCGTACACTTCCAAAAATAGAATTAAAGATCATTTTACTTCATTTATGATTCTAAACAAGAATCAGTCTAACAATTATTCAAATTGAATGCATGTTATGCAACAATATAGTATTAAGTAACTATACAGTATCAAACTTGATGCTAGTAAAATATGACTAGAATCAAGCTGCTGAAAATAAATTTCAAATTCATTTCACTTCATCTATGATGCCCAAACCAGAATCATTAGAAATGTTACTTGAGCTGGAGACTGTAGATATCACCGTCTCAGTGGAAACAGTTCTTGAAATTACATTAGCAATACCGGTAAATGCTTTTGAAGCTTTGCCAGAACCTGAATTGAGGGAAATAAATCGGAAGACTTTCCGTGCTGATCCACAGTACAAAGCATATACTCTCTTATTGCATACAAAAACACAAAAAATAAACAGTCCCTGTAAGGTATTAAAGATTATAAAAAGATAAGTGAGGATTTTTCCTGTCAGTTTTTCTTCCCTTACGTAAGCTGCAGCAAATGCTAGAGCCCATGTCAGTCCAATAACAAAAGCCATTCTAGCGTACAGCAACACATCTCTTTTTCCCGATTGTTTATTCTTCTGTTGACTTAAATGAATCACGTGTTTCACATTTCGAATAGAAAGTATTGTCAGTACAAAAAAGCTGAAGTTTACCAACATGATTATCGCTAAAGGAGAAGCAAAATAGGTCACTGCGGCTGTCTTACTTGTAATCCAGCAAATATCCCCATTGCCATAATGCGGCGAAAACTCTGACTCTTCCAAAAATTTATCCAATAGCGAAGTGGCAAGAATAATCAGTAAAGGAATACCATAAGCATATAACATGTATCTGGGCAAATATTTCCTTTTACTGCGTATATTATTCAATATTGTTTTGGCACCAAAAGTCTTGAACAAATCGTAGGCCATAACATTCATCCACATGAAACAACATAGAATTTCATAATGCAGTATAGTGGCAACAGCTTTGCAGGCTTTACCGGTAACTGAGCTTCTTTGCCCAAAAACGTATGTTATCTGCATTGCAAGCAAGGAGAATGTCAAGTTCATAGTGTTGCATCCTGGTAAATTGCGTAAGCTTGAAAAGAAAGAATACGTAGTCAAAACTACGATCATAGCTGCTATTGATATCCATGAAAGAGCATAACTTACGAAAGCCTGAATGATGTCTGTTTCTATATCAAATTTAACACCAAGAGATCCAGGTGATTTTGAAAAGCAAACCATAACAGTTCCATTTTCGCCTTTTTCAAAAACGGTGCTGTCGATCGCTTCCTTACCCGGACTCCTGCTTAAAAGTACTAAAGAGCCATTTTCTAAAATGTCATATTCATCCTTTTCAAGAACTATTCGAACACAGGAAGAATTTAATCTTTTCTTCCAGTCACACACAATAGCTAGACCACTAACATTAATTAAATCTCTGCTGTACTGATAACCTTGGTACAGAATATCAGCAACAAAATGTCCTTTGGGGTAAAACTTTCCTGTTTTATTTATATATAGTCCCTTTATTCTATTTTCTGCGCTTAATGTGTCATTATCTTCTAATATAAGTTTAAACTCAGAATTCCAATATATTCTTTTTTGATCCCCATCGCTTTCCTTGCACCAAGATTTTAGGAATTCAACTGATTGTTGCATTTCGTAAATCCGACCCGTAATATTCTTCAAACCAAATTCAAATCCATTTGAAGATACAGCAGATGCCAGCATGGATACGATGCTATCTACGGATGGTTCGGGCTCTATTTCGCTAGAGCTCTCATACAAATCCAAATCAATGGTAAAAGTAATCGGGTGTGACTCGTCATCTATTTCTTTAATGTACATCAAAGTTTCATTCTTGCTTTCAAACTTTCCGAAAGATATATTAAATCGGACGTTTCTTATTCGATCTGAACTAATATTAAATGAAACTGAAAATGACTCACGTATATTTTCGGATATTCCCTCCAGGTCTAGGTTATTAAACTGTAGAAAGTCAATAAGTTCTATCTCTGCGCTTAAAGTCAAATGAACAGACTGTGCTTTGGGATCAGGAACAGGCACAGTTACATTGTCAAGCGAAGTATCATCTAAAATTGGCTCTTTTCTTACGCATTTATAATCCACTAAGACAAAGTTGGTACTGCAATGAAGCATGCGACAAATCTTGCTAAAAGGATCCCAAATTTTGCCTATGCCACAGCGTTCCTGATGACCCTTCATCTCTGCATCGCCTTCTGATGAAATGTAAACTCTTTGTCGTCCATCCAAACCAAAATTCAAAAGCATTGAGAATGCAGCCGGCATATCATCCAGTTTTATGCCGTCTCCTTCTTTAGTGATACGAAGGTTCGGCCTTCCTTTACCTCCTTTGTTACCTTTAGAAGCAGAATCAATGAGGTAGGGAGAAGCGCACCTAATCTCATCCAAAGATTCATTGTGACAATACGCGCAGTAAATATTTTTGTAAAACCTGCGTTGACCATTCCTTTTAGGACCACCCATGACAGGATCAAAAAAACTTGAGCACATTTGAGAGATAATAGAATCAGTATCACAAGAATCAACAATTTTTTCGTAGCATTTCCGAATGGAATACGACTTAGACTTGTTCTGTGATTTTATTTCAGCAACCACCTCCCTTAAATGAGGTGTTTTATAATTGTTTTGGTAATTGCAAGCGGCACAGTAAGAGTTTTTGTATAGTATTTGGTCAACGCCAATAACAGGCCAGTAGTGTTTGTCACAGTTTTTGCAAACTGAAGCGGTCATTTTTTGGCATTCATTCGAAACGAGTTTAGGACAACGCGGGTCGCCACTTCCATTGCATAGAGCTGCTAAACGCTCCCAGCATTGTGGATAATAAGTGGATTTACAATCCCCACTCTCTGATAACAGATCGGGTAAAATGCATTTAGTAGGCAGATTGGCATCACACAGACTTTTAATGGACGCATCTTTCCAGTTTTTTGAGCACTTAGATACCATAAATATCGGAAAAGTTTCAAGTAAAGATTCACATTTCGATTTGGTTTTAAAAGGGAGATGCTGCACATCTTGGGCCACATTCTCTTTACATTCACTTTGGTAATCGGCACAACAGTCACCAAAATATGAGCATTGCTCATCACAGTTGCAAGTATGAGTGTATCCTTTGTGCACGCTGCCACAACGATTAACACATGTGTCGTACGGTGGGCAAAGTGTTGTAAGGTTTTTCTTACTAATTAAATACTTGAGTGGAGTGCTCGCCTGGGCTTCATGAATAATTTCGTAAACATCTTGAAGACCTTCCAAAGATGGATAAATCTCAACTGCTTTACATGCCTCCTCAAAAGAATTTTGGTCACATTTTTTAAGGTTATCATCAGCAATCAAAAGTTTTGTATACGTTAGAAACAAAATGCACAATAAAAATGGAGTCATTCTGTAAAACGATATCCTAGATCTAAGTTTTGAAGCGATGTATAAGTTTTTGTCCTTCGAAAATCATATTTCCTTATCATAAATACAGCTCTTGATTAACCTTAGATTAATGTTTATATTTTTAACTCAGAAATCCTGTAGCAACAAGTACTATATCTTAGCAAGATTCAATTTGCGTCAACAGCAAAGAGCTAAAGAATCAAAATATTTTCATTTGCTGATTTAATCCTGAAAATCAGTTCTGATGATGTAAATGACGTAAGTTTGGAATATGCTTCTTGAAGTTAATATTCCAGAGATTTCTTTATCAACACGTTTGGAAAATAAACGCCTACAGATATGATTAAAAACTTAAAACTTCATCAAAATGGCGCTTCTTATCTTTAATATTGTCTTCTTTAAAAGCAGATGGTATAGTTCACATAAAACAAGCACCATATGCCTAAAATATTGTCCTTTAATTCTTTAATGGGTAATGGATGTAAATGTAACAACAAAACTATAAATATTTCTTAAAAATAAAAATTGATGGAAAAGAATGTTATTGTTGCAACTATAAAATAAATAGTATAAGGGTGAAGAGCGTAAGAAAAACAATCAAACAATTGAAATTTCAATCAACCCAGAATTTTTGATTCCAATATTCTTTTGGCGATATATTTGTATGTTAAAAGCAATTCGTTGTTATACTTTGTGCACAATTGGATGATAATAATAAGTTTTGATAAAGGAATAGATATCAATATTTCTTAAGGCGGCTGCAAGACTATATCAATTAAAGAGATAAAATATTTAAGTATGTATGAAATGGATACTTGAGATATTTTTACGCTTTTAAATGTTTACGTTGTGTTTTATTAAAAATATATTAAACTAACTAAACTTTAACTATAAATTTTATTAAACATATTAAAAAGTACAGATCAAGGATTTTTCAAATTATTTTTCATTCTGTGCACCACTTTCACAACTGAAATAAGGTTTCCAGCACTCCAAACTATAAAATGTAAATGCACCTTCATTTAAAATTCGAAAATTTGCAAGTTTCTTTTTTTTTAGTAAGCAACGAAAAAACACACACACTCACAGAAAATGTTGAATATAAGTAACGTAAAGCATTCCTGCAACAGCACGGTGTGGGCCAGAGAGGGTCATAAAGGATAAGGCTCTACAATTTCGTGACCAACGGCACGACTGGGGCAATACGGTCAGTACTGCCCACAGGCCGCCTTTACTTCCCTGACAAACTGGCACCCACCGATCTGAAGCTGGGTGGGTTTCAAGCTGCCGCTGGGGAGCGAAATCGGTTATGAAAAAAATAAAAATATTGGTTGAATCGGACAATTCTATGTATGGCCGATATTAGCTGAATAGCATCTATAAAATATCGGGTTGACAATTCTACATTAGGCAATATTGGTTGAATAATAGCTCGAAAATATTGGTTAAATCGGACAATTCTATATAGAGCCGATATAGGTAGAGAAGTGGGTGTAAAATACTGTGCGAATTGGTAAATTTTACATAGGGCCAATCTTAATAGTTTGAGATTTGCTTGAAATATTCTAGTTAACTATTTCAGGCGATGTTTTAAGTTGCGAAATTCGACTCAAAAACGTACTTTCTCAGCATAAACATGCCCTTCTTTCAATGGATTCGGATTTTTCACCCCAAAATATAGGAAGTAGTCGCAATCTAGGAAATATGGTCACAAACGTTTGGTTAGGAGGAAGGTCAAAATTTTAGTCCCTTTAATGTTAATTTTACTTTTTGCGTATGTCACCCTATCTCGATAATTTTTCAAGAGAATTGAAAATTTCTTGCATGTGAAAATAAAGTTCGTTATTCCAAAAATAATTCCATACACAATATAATTTTAAATAAACATTCATTATTTTAATTATTTATAACCGAAAAACTTTTGATTTGTAGGGTTTAAAATTTTTTACACCGTTTTAAAAATGTAATTTTAAATGGCACAATACAAAATTTGAGTGAAAAAGGTTCAATGGTTCCTGGGAAATTGAATTTTAAAAGAACGTCGCCTGTACTAATTAATTAGCAAATTCATGGTCACCACTTTAACCTTCAAAAATGAAATCCTACAACGTGGGGATCCGATCTTTAGATAAAAAGTTATTCAAGGTGGTTCGTTCTTTGTTTTGCGCTCTGTATAGGTTCTGAAATAAGAAACTGGTGTAACGGATTAATGTCCACGGATGGATAATATCATTATAATAAAATGTGCTTCAGAAATAAAATTTTTGCGATAAATAAATATTAAGGTCCTCAGATGCACCTTTCTAAATGATTCTCAAGCACCTTTGTCCAAATAAAGGATCAAACACATATTTGCAAACAATTCGAGAATAAGAGAGACAAAATGAAGGGAAATTCTTTGGGCAAATATATCAGAAGTATCGCAAAATCGACAATACCAAAAAAGTAATGCCGCGAGCTCAAGATCATAAGTTGATAGGCATCACAGCAAGATAATCCAAAAAAATATAACAAAATATGACTGGAGGAGGTTTTAATATGTAGAATGGTCATGTCGGCTAATCCTCCTTCATTTAAAACAATTTCAAGCCTCCGTGGGTTTCTGTCAGGAAAGTGGCGAATTGCAATTGGATGTAATAATTACCTGTAAGCGACTTCATTTTGGGCATTCTCTTATACCACGATTAAAAAGCCAATTAGGATTGACACATACGCGTGATGCTACTTATGGGTATCCAATTAGATCTAATCTGAAAATTGACACAGCGTGAAACAAACCAAGCCTAAATGCTGTAACGTTAACCCGCCGAACACCACTACGTAATTTGGGTCATCCATGGAATTTAAATCAAGATTTTTTTTATTTAAATCCCATGGTCGGTCCTTACCACGCATTCTTCTCCTCAAGTTGTAAGTAGCCAATTGCGCTGTCAAGAACATCCCAGATATGCCCGATGGGACTCATGTTTTGAAAATCTGACTGATCAGTACATCTTCGACTTCATGATATTCTACGCGTTTTTCTACCATAAAAATGGGCTGTGAACTAACTACGTCCCTGAACAATCTTACATAGATAAGACGCTTCTAAGTTCTCACCTGTTTTGTCTAAGAAAAGTTAGGGTGCCTTTCGGACACTCAAGGTCAGAGGAGAGTCTGCCTGCACTATTGCTGGAAACATCAACTTAGAGCAATAGATCTGTGTTTTTCTTCCCTAATAAAAGACTATTCAATCTAACCATTGTTCATGATGCGTTCACAAATGGAAAGAGTGTGGGAAACCGGTATCATCCCTCCAGCATCATATAGGGGTTCAGGAGTTATATTACAGCGGAGACTGGCATGACATTGATCCAATTCCTGCACGCCTTCCGGGGAGGCACCATGACCTCCTTGAGGTGTAAGGGTTGAGATCTTAAGAGCTATGCTTGAGATTATTCAAATGCATTTTTTTAAACATTATTACTAGTATTGAGAGAGAGAGAGAGAGTTTTTCAAAGAACACGTAGGCACCTTTTAATTATACTCAAAAAAACTCATCTCCATAGGCATCAAAATACAATAATCGTTTCAACTCCCATTTAAGTAATTAGGAAGAACTAAAATTTCGTAACGATGATAATGTAGGTGAAAGAAAACAAACGCTATTCAACGTATGGTGATTCTCACGAAACATGACAATTTGGACCAAAAAATTTCTTGAAATTTAAAGTCTTCAATATAATCTAAAATTTTTTTTGTATACTTCTTTAGTTACACTTATTAATATCTTGCATACAGCAGTGTAGTTAATTGATATTCGTCGAGAAAAAAAAATAAAATAGAAATTCACCAAATCTTGAACACCAGGAAAATGACATATTAGCTTAGAAGTTAAAAAAACAGTCATTTTAAGTTAATAGTGAGTAACTTACCTTAAGCCTTTATGTAAGATGAACCATAAATTGCTTAAATTAATTCTTTTTGTCCACTGTCGAATGAATAAAAAAAAATTTTGTTGCTGATATGTACAGAATAAAATTTTTAATAATTAATAATCAATCATTAAATAAATAAATAACTTTGATTACATCCAAGCATATTACAATCATACATAAACTTGGTATTAGGTTAATATTTGCTTTCCCTCCTTACAGTATTAGCAGTTTAAAAAAAATTCTGGTAACACTTCAACGTCCTGGCATTCATAAGACAGGAAAATGACAGCCAGGATAAAGAGAAATTCGCCATTTTATAGCATATAACTTTATTTTATTTAATATTTTTGCATAAGACGTTTATTTTCTGCAAAAAACAACAGGATTTCTTAAAATAACTCAGATAAATCTATGTAGTTTATGTTATTAATGATTTCAAGAAGACAGGAAAATGACAACACAAAAACCTACTCACCTTGAAAAATTTTTTGAAATAGATTTTGACCCAGAAAAATTGGTTCTTTATTCATGCAATAAGACATGTTCATATAAGAGGGTATCTAATCAATCTATTAACATAAGATATTGCCTACTGGCTCTATCTATTTCGGTTATGAACCACTAAATAAAAGTAGCCAAGGAAATGACAGATTTTCTTGGGACAAACAAATTATTGAAAGAAAAAATTAATTTAAACGAAGTTTTTGCAAATAGTACCCTCTGCGTGTACTCTAGAGATGCTTACACCGGGTGAGATAAAAAAAAAATTAGATATTGAAAATTTTATGGGAAGTTTTGAAGCTAGTTATTATTGAAAACATTGTTTGGGACATGCCAGGAAAATGACATTTTGATATTCAATAAGATTTTTTAACTATACAAAACAGTCAATGCTAGTGCAAAGTCATTTTAAAATGCTATCAGCAATGCTATTTATTGATTTTCTTTTAAAAAAGTTACTTTAGTATTAGATCTTGGTGCAAGGGACAGTGAATTGTCATGTTTCGTGAGAATCACCCATATATATACTTACATAGTAATCTATAGGGACACATTGCGGGCCCCTTATTAGGCCTATAATTATATCCTCTGGTAGGGTAGACTAGTACCCGGTAATATAATACGTGGTCCAGTTTGAATGTTATGGGTCAATATTAAGGGGAGATATAGGGCATGTTGTAATACAGAATATTGACATCGAATTTCTTCGTTTTTAACGCTATTCAAAGTACTGTTATATATATATCTATACTTACATAGTAACCTATAGGGCCACATTGTGGTCCCCCTATTAGGCCTATAATTATTTCCTCTGGTAGGGTACACTAATACTCGTTAATGAAACATTGAAGCATCAGCTTCGATGTAGAATACAGAAAAATAAGGATGAAAAACACTTCAA